AAATGGCATCATTGAACTAAAACGTATAATCAGAATATAACTTGTTGATATAATAGAGAAACATTATTGTTGAATAATAAGATTAATAAGTTATAGTTTACTAGTTTAAAATTTAGTTTCATTATTTAAGTACTCATTAATAAATAAATCATAGTATTTACTGTTTAATTTAATTAAAATCATTCAATATSCCTAAAATATTGAGTGTATAAAAATGTAAATATCTTGCCACACCCATATTTTTTGTCTCAGTCAAACAGACATGTATCAAAGCAAATTTACGCTCAGCAGTTTACGTTTTACTCTGTTAGCTTAAAAATTAGAGAAAATAGACCTATTAAAAAACTTTATGGTGAGAAAATTTTCTGTGTTTTGTTGAAAGTATTTTTTCGATAATTCAGTTTTTAAGTGAGATATGGGTGTATAATAAATTGCAAAATAAAAATGCTCATAACTGACTTAAAACCTTAAAACCTGGATTATCGAAAAATACTTCCAAAAAAACACAAATAATGTTCTAAGTATCAAGTTTCATAATAGGTCTATTCACTCTAATTTTCGAGCTAACAAAGTAAAACATGAACTTTTTAGTTTTTAACGTAAATTTGCTATGGTACAAGATTGTAAGACTGAGACAATAAATRCGGGTATTGCGCCCTCTTAACAACAAGTATCTATCAATTAAGATTTTTAAATTGCATTAAAAAATTAACAAACGGTACAAATATAAAGAGTAAATTAGTTTATATTTTGACATGAAAAAAATAAATATCACAATTATAAATGTATCTATTGCAAAATACTAGTTGACTAAATATTTACGACCATAGAATTGTACTTTTTTGTCGAACGATCCACATTTGATTGGCATGTTTAGCTTATAGAATGGATTCATCACATACTGAAATTGATAAAAATAAATAGTTAGTAAGTAGTTATTAAGTAGCTATCATAGGGTAAAAACATTTGTATTATCTAAAAATCCTCTTGTTTACTTTTATAGATTTATACATACATTGTAAACACTGAATACTGGTAGGTATAATAAAAATGTGAAATATTATATTAATAATATGCTTTTAGCTACAGTARCATTTCCCAACCTTTTYCCCCCATGGCACACTAGTCCTAACTTATACTTAGCTGTAACACACTTGACACTGATATATATATGTTTAATACATTATTTTTTTTTTAACATTAGGGAAGCATTAGGCTTTCATCATATTAATACAAAAATTTGGGTACTTATCAGTAAATTACTAGAAAATAATTTAAAATTGTGTGTTTATTTAGGTTAGTAAAACTCATGTAAAATTATATTTTAATCTATTAAAATATGAAATTTATTGATATGGAAAAAAAGAGGCATTATACTATGATTATGTTAGATATACAAATCTAGTCCTAATGAAAAATTTAGGAATGATTTCCCKTCATTATAAGTTTCTACTACATTCTACCATAGTCAAATAGTTGACAAGCACGCCATCATATCAGAGTAAAAGAATTGTTAAAAATATTTTAACTTATTATTGAAATTATAAGTGAGCGAATTAATAAACATATTTTGTGTACACTGTGAACACTGTGTACACTGGTAGGGAAACGCTTTAATACAGGAATTAGTATTAAAAAATCCTTCATGGATTAAAAACAACTCATAAATTGGAATTGGTAAGTACAGTCAGTATTATCTATGATGACAGCCAAGGGAGCGTAAAACATAAGTTGTTATGACTGGTATGGTTAGATTAGAATTGTACAGAATGTATTARATTTTCTAAAGACTACTACTGTTATAGTCTGATGAGATAAGAAAAACAATTTTTAACATCGGAAATGTTATGAATGGTACCTAATTATAATTAAGTAGAAAGCTCTTTTACTTAGATGTACCTAAGTTACAAGTTCATTTTAATATGGAATAGTTATGCTGTAATTTTAATAGGAAAATTTTTAGTCATCAAGAACTAGCTTTCCATATAATTTCCTTGCGAATAATTGTTATGTCTAACAGACTATCTTAACATTCTTGACACATGGTAGAGGTACATATCCATGATTATTAGTTATAATTTAAGGTAATTACGATTAGGGTTATTTTTTTATTCAGGGTGTTTGCATTAAAATTCAAGGTGTTAAGCACCCTGTGATTTGAGCCAATGTCTAAATTATATTCAAATTTATACTTATTAATAGAAAATAAATATATGAGCAAACATTTTTCCTAAAATAGCAAGTAGGTATAATATTGCAAACATCAAAAAAAAGTTTTAAAAAATTAATGAATAATACAATAGTCTATTTTACATTTATGTATACAGTATTGCAGTATATATGCTACTTTATAACTACAAATTATATTTGCTGTATTATTTGTGTAATAAAACCATAGAATATCTCTTTTGTGACATTACTAGCTACGAGGAAACAAATATTACTAAATTTTTATTATATTTACCTTTATAAACATTTCATATACTTCAGTGAAAAAATTTTTTATGCCCTCATCATTTTTAGAGTCGTGTACAATAATAAATCTCATTCGACTAGCTGTGACAAAAGCTGATACCGTCCAATGATTGAAGCGATCTACAGTTTTCAAATACATAGATGTAGACTTCCACATTAATTCATCAACCAGATCTAAGGCAGCATGGGCTATAAATTGGTTTAAATGGCTATGGTCTTCTTTCTATAATACATATTAAAAATTGCATACTATTATTACACAAAATAACAATTTGATTYAATTCAATTAACTATCTAAGATAACATTTAAATGTTAAATCATTTATATTTTTAGTGCTATGTAGTTCCCAATTATTATTAAGAACAACTTTTACAAAATTGTTGACTTCTTGATATACATAAATTAGTAATAATATTATAATATGACCTACTCATTTAACAGCCGTTAAAATAACTTAAAGCAATATAATGAATTATGAAAATAGTTAGGTATATAATTGTTGAAATAATGTATTATCATAAGTCTGAAATTTAAATCAACACAACACTAAGAATTGATAGGTTTTTATCACTCTGTTAATGAGTTATATTAAGTAATAGAATGAAATTTATGAGCTAATATCAGGGCTTGAAATCAATCTTAAAATTTAAAAGTTAAAAATCATCTTAGAGATCAAAACCAAATATTTTTTCTTTAATGAAATTCAAAATGTACATTGAAATTGAAAAATTTAAATCCATAATTTATACCAAAGACATAATTGCTTTATGATTTTTATAGTATATAAATCATTTAAATCATT